TGTCAACGGGCGGCACTGCGGGCTACCCCAACTGCGGTGGGACGTAGTGAGTGGTGCGCAGCTTCTTGAGCGCCTGGCCGAACAGCTCGATGGCTCGCTGCTTGATGGCCCGCTTGGCGCCCTCGTCGAGATCCATGTCATCTTCGTCGCCGACTGCGCTGGCACAGGCCTCGAGCAGCTTCTGCTCGTTTCGGGCTGCCCATGCACGGGCGCGCTCATCAGGGTCAGCGCCACCCACAGGAGCTGCAGGAGGCGGCGCAGCCTGCCCTGCACCCGCTGCCCCTGCCGCCGCGAGGCCGCATCCCGAGGGGAGGCCCGCGCTGGCGGCGCCAGGCTGGGCACCGCCTGACGGGGCGGTGCCAGCAGGCGCAACAGGGGGGGGGTGCTGGGCTTGCGCGGCCTTCGCCTGCAGCTCCTGCTGGGCGGTTGCCAGCTGCGCCGCCACCGCCGTGAGCTTGGTCTCGAGCTCGGCGTCGCCAAGCAGCCGCGCCTGCTGGAGCAGCCCGTCGCACTGGCCAGGCGGCGTGCCAGGCGCGGCGGCGGCCGTGCCGCCCACTTGCGCAAGGGCCGCTGCCCCGCGCGCGGCAGCCTCCTTCTGCTGCTGCTGGAGCTCCTCGAGCTCAGCGCCAACCTCTGCTGCGCAGCGGACGGCACGGTGCAGGTTCTCCTGCGCCTTATCGTATTTCTTCTGCACCTTGCCAAGCCGATCCGTGAGCACGTCACTTTCCTTCTCCGCTGCCCGCGACACCAGCTGCGGATCGCCTGAGAGGAGGCCCCGCTGGTGCTGGATGCGATCCCGCGCCGACTGGCTGAGCGTGTCCGCCACGGCCTCATACGAGGCGGGGTCCATGGCGGCGTAGGCTCGGACCTGCGCATCGGTGAGGGGCGGAGGTCCTTTCGGCTTGGGCGCACGTACGGAGGGGGGACGCCACCAGCCCAGACACCGCGGGGCTGGACCACGCGCTGGCTGGGGCCGCCTTTCTCCGTGCCACAGCGGAGGCAGCGATCACGCCACTCGTAGTTGTACTTGAACTTACAATGTTTATTGGGACAACACCAACAAGACTGCTGCCAAAAAGCCATCTCGCACCAGCGGAGGGTGCGACACACGCCGTAGGTGCGCAAAGGCCGTGAGGGATAAAACCTCAATACAGTCTCGAGGTGTGGAGCAGGTGGGGCCGCGGATCCCCTTGCCAAATACTCCTCTTCCTCCTCCTCCTGCTCCTCCTCCTCCTCCTCCTCCTCCTCCTCTGCCTCCTCCTCCTCTGCCTCCTCCTCTTCCTCCTCCTCCTCCTCCTCCTCGTTTGCCCGCTCTTCCCCCTCCCCCTCCATGTCCGCCTCCTCCGCTTCCTCCCTCTTCCCGTCGACGCAAAGCAGCGGCACTGGCCTCGGCAATGGCTCCAGCTGGGAAGGGCCATCGGCATTGGTTCTTACTGCATGTATCGGCTCTTCTTCTCCTGCTGCAGTAATGCGCACTCTGTGTAATGCGCACCCTGCAGTACTGTGCACTTCTTTCCCCCCTTCTTCCCGCTCCTCCCTCCTCTGGCCCGTGGAGATCGATGGGACCCCTTATGCACCGCTCTTCGTAGGCACGAAACCCTCCCTCCTCCCTTCTCACCCACCTCTATTCCTCCTCCTCCTCCTCCTCCTCCTCCTCCTCCTCCTCCTATTCCTCATTATCCTTCTTCTCCTGCTCCTTGGCATCCTCATCCTCATCCTCATCCTCCACCTCCTCCTCCTCCTACTCCTCCTCCTCATCCTCATCTTCATGCTCATCCTCATCATCTGCATCCTCCTCCTCCTCCCTCTCCTCCTCCTCCTCCTCTTCCTCCTCCTCCTCCTCCTCCTCCTCCTCTGCCCCTTCTCCTCCTCCTCTGCCTCCTCCCCCTCCTCCGAAAACGCTCCCATTCTCCTCGCTTGGGTGCCTTCCCCTGGTCCTCCCTGCGGGGGGCGACGCAGCGGCCGTGCCCCAGGGACGCACGCGGCGAGAGCAGAAGCAGAAAGGGCGTCGGCGGCTGCACTGGCAGGATCGGCCAGCATCGAGCCGATACATCGGATCGGATCGGAACGTGCGTCGGACCGGGCAGCATCGGTGCGATGTCGACATCGAATCGTGCCGGCCGCGCCAGGATGCACAACAGCGCCCTGCACGCAACGGGCCGCATCGGATCGCCAGCGCATCGGAATCGACGCAGATCGGCTCGGCCCGAGTCGACGTCGACTCGGATCCGCATCGGGCCGAGCTTCGACAGCGGCCGGGCAGCACCCGCAGGAGGGGACGGCGCCCGGCAGACAGCCGGGATGCGAGGTGGGGATCTATGCATATACCACCGCCTGGGAACCGACGCCCCGGTGCCCCAGCGGGCGGTGGACATGGACACATTTTTGGCCCCTGGGGGCCCAAATTATGTCCACCTCCACCGCCCGTCGAGATCTCCGAAGTCGACCCTCCAGGCGGCGGTTATGTACAAATCCCCGCCTCGGACGGGAGGCCTTGTAGTTCTCCGCCTCGGCAGCCCGCGCCTGCCCGGCGGCTCGGGCGCGTCGGCAAGGCGGCCCGGCAAGCGCAAGAGTGGTAGCAGAACCACAGGCGTCCGGCAAGAGCCTGAGGGGTGGCTAGCTCGGGCTCGCTCGGCCTTCAGCGGCAAGGCAACTCTGGTTTCGGCTCCGTTTTTCAACTTTGCTTCCAGGTCCGTCGCCGTTCATTCTCCGGCTCCGGTTCAAGATCCGGTTCTGGCGCCGCTTTTTGCCCGTTCCGGTGAACACTTCATGTAACCTTCTCATACTCGAGAACCAAATTCTCCAGGATAATTCCGGAACCGAACCGGCCGAACCGAACCGGTGCGAACCGGTCCTTCACTCAACGCGAACCGAACCGAACTGGTCGTGGTCGACACTCGAACCGAGCCGAACCGGCTTCGAATCTGATCTTGAACCGGGCCGAGGCTCCTTCCAGAAGCTTCCCCCCGTGCCGAAAGCTTATCGGAAACGGTGCACACGACACTGGCTCTGCCTTTGTGCAGGGTTAGGTCGGGCATGTCCCCCTACAGGCGGAATTTGGAGGAAAAACGAAAAATGTTCAACAAATATTTAAAACATGCTACAACATCTCCCTACTTTTTGATTATTTCTGAATGTTCCTCCTGTAGAGGGACACGCCCTACTTAAGTCCAGGGCCCACTGGCCGCGCTGGGCCCCCCCCCTCCCGGCAGGCGCACAGGCGCGCGCCGCCGCGGGGGGTGGCCGCTCGAGGCGCCGACTCTCCTGGCGAGCGTGGCCCGCCCTGAGCCTTCGGGGGACGGCTCGGTGTCGCGATTTGGGCTCCTCCTCCTCCTCCTCCTCCTCCTCCTCCTCCTCCCTCCTCCTCCTCTCCTCCTCCTCCCCGCCTCCTCCTCCTCCCTCCGTCCTCTCCGTACTCCTCCTCCTCCTCCTCCTCCGCCTCCTCCTTCCATTGCCCTCCGCGTCATTGCCCTCCGCCTTCTTCTTCCCTCCTCCTCCTCGCTCCCTCGCTCCCTCCTCCTCTCTCCTCCTCCTCCTCCTCCTCCCTCCTCCTCCTCCTCCTCCTCCTTCCTCCTCCTCCTTCCTCTCCTAATCCTCCTCCCCCTCCTTCTCCTCGCTCTCGTCGTCCGCGTCGTCGTCCTCCTCCTCCTCCTCCCTCTCCTCCTCCTCCTCCTCCTCCTCCTCCTCCTCCTCCCCCTCCTCCCCCTCCTCTCCTCCTCCTCTCCTCCTCCTCCTCCTCCTCTCTCATCCTCTCCTCCTCCCTCCTCCTCCTCCGCGCTCCTCCTCCTCCTCCTCCTCCTCCTACCTCCTCCTCCCCTGTCCGAACCGCTGCGCCACTCCGTCTCAACCGCCGCCGCTCCGAGAAAAAACAGTACACAAAAAAAAAAATGAAAAAATAATCAGTAAGATAAAAAAAAAAAAAAGAAATCCGCTGGGTGCCCGCGGCCCGGCTTCACCCCTGGAGGACCGGGAAGGGAAGCAGCTGCCAGGCCAGCGCGAGGGACGACAACAGGCGCGAGGTCAAGAAATCCGCCCCCATAGTACAGTCAACTAGTATATAGTAAGGATGCGCGATAAGGATGCAAGGGCCTTGGACGCCCATTGTGAAGCTTTTCGAGCAGGACGCGGCCAACGAAAGTGGCCAAGGATAGACCGAGGAGGCAAGCATGCAAGGGTACCCTTGAGAAGGTTGCCCATCCTTACTGTGCGGGTCGACTGTAACTGGCCCCATACGCGAAGTCGTCTAGTAAACGCGCCCACAGAAAAAATCGAACAGGGCAAGGCTGTTCAGTAAACGCCCGGGGCCGTAACGCCGATTGTCCGGTCCGTTTCTCCCTTGAGAGGAGCACGACCACCACCACGACGAGGGCGACGACGAGGGTGGGAGGCGGGGATTCTTCCAGGACCGACTCCCCAGAGATCCGACGCTGCGAAGCACTTGCAACGTCGGACAACATCGCGACCAAAGCCCTGGACCCCGACTCTCCGCGGCAGCCTTCGACCCGGGGCCCGAAGCTCGGCGACCACGCCCAGCATAAAACATCGCCCAGCGCAAAAAATCTGCACCGCCCCGATCTCGGGGCCGGGCCACGAAGCATGGAGAAGTCCCATACATCCGGCCGCTCCACTTTCTTCGATGCCTGGGCCCCTGAGGTCTGGACCGCGTTCCTAGTGGCCGGCTTTTGTTCGTCCTGCCTTCTTGACGGTCCCGAGGCCCTGCGAGGGCCCATGGGGGCCGAAAACAATCCGAAACCCGCCGCTCCAATTCTTTTTTGAAGCATCGGATCTTTGGGGAGATGTTCTTAGGTCGGGCATGTCCTCCTACAAGCGAATGTTGGAAGAAAAGCGAAAAAGAGCCCAAACATACGCAACAATATAGTCACAACATCATCGAAACATTGTCCCCAGACAACTTTTGTGGATTATTTTTCAAATTTCCCTCTTGTAGGGGGACGTGCCCGACTTGAGAGGAGGCCCCGCCCCGCAGACGGCGGCAGCGCCCCGCCTTGCCGGAGGCCAGCGCCGCCGCGCAGGCGCGCAGGCGCGCCGCCAGCGCCTCCGGCGAGGCCTCCGCGACGAGCGCCTCCGCGGGCCTCCGGCGCCCCGCGGGGGGGTCTCTGCGGCAGGGGGGGGGAGGGGGGGCGGGGAGCGGGGAGGAGGGCGGAGGAGGGAGGGGAGAGGGGAGGGGAGAGGGGAGAGGGGAGAGTGGGGGGGTGATTTTTTAGTTTAGAGTAATATGTATTATGCTTTTCTTTGGTGGGGAGGTCAGGAGTGATTGGATAGAGTGGTGAATGTATGGAACCCAAAGATCCAGCGCCCCCCAAAAACTGCAGCGGCGGGTTAACGGGCCGCGTGCGGCCTCCCCGGGGGCCCTCGCTGGGCCTCGGGACCGTCGAAGCACAACCCAGGACGAGAAACCGGCCCTGGGGAAGTGGTCCAAACCTCTGGGGACCACGCATCGAATACATTGGAGCGGCCGGACGTCTGGGGAGGAGGGGGGGGAGAGGAGGAAACAGGAGGGAAGAGGAGGATCTGGAGGAGGAGGAGGAGGAGGAGGAAGAGGAGGAGGGGGAGGAGGAGGGCAAAAGAAAATAATGTAATGGAAAGGGAAGATACGGAAATGCCACCAGCCTTTTAGGGCGTGTGGTATAGGGCGTTTCATCTTCCAAAGCCCCTTCTTCCCCTTCGGGGAAGAGTACCCCTCCATCATTCCCCCTCCCGCTTGACCTGGACGGGAGGTTCCGCGAGGCGTTGGAGTGTCCAAGATGGCCTTGGCAAGAAGGCACAAATCATTGATGTTACCGCGGCTTTGGGCCCATTTTGACCTCTTGGAGGGGGGCCCTAATATGTTACCCCCCCATTATTTGATCCAACTTCCCCAAGATGGCCCGAGATGGCCCCAAACGCTCCCAAGAGTGCCCCAAGAGGAACCAACAGGCGCTCAGGCGGCCCCAAGAGGCCCCGAAGAAGCCCCCTAGAAGCTCCAAGAGGCTCCCCCAAGGCACCCAAGACGCTCCAAGAGGCCCCCAAGACGCTGCAAGAGGACTCCAAGAAGCTCTCACGAGACATCCGAAGGGGACCCCGAGAGGCATCCAAGAGGCCTCTGGCCTTTCTGCGCGCCCTCCTCCTCCTCCTCCTCCTCCTCCTCCATCCTCCTCACCTCGCTCCTCCTCCTCCTCCTCCTCCTCCTCATCCTCCGCTTCCTCATCCTCCCTATTCCTTCGCGTTCCCTCCCTCCGTCTTCGCCCCCCCCCCCCTCCGCCCTTCCGCCTCTTCTTCATCCTCCCCTCCTACTCACCTTCCCTCCCTCCCTGCTCTTCCTCTTCCTCCTCCTCCTCCTCTCCTCCATCTCCTCCTCTCCTCCTGCCTCCTCCTTTTGGTTTATCCTCCTCCGATTCCTCCTCCTCCTCCTCCTCCTCCTCCCTCCTCCGCCCCTCCGCCTCCCCCTGCCCCCTCCCCCTCCTCCTCCTCCTCCTCCTCCTCTCCTCCTCCTCCTCCTCCTCCTCCTCCTCCTCCTCCTCCTCCTCCTCCTCCTAGTTATCCTCCTCCGATTCCTTCTCCACCATGCTTGGTGTATGACGGCTTCCCCAATCCCTTAATCCAAGGCGTGCTCCTCCGCATCCCTGATCAGGGCAACTCTCCTGGGCATCGTTTCTGGATGGGCTGACGCGTCTAGAATATTATAAAAAGACACGGGGAGGAGGAGAAGGAGGAGGAGGAGGAGGAGGAGTAGGAGTAGGAGTAGGAGTAGGAGTAGGAGTAGGAGTGGGAGTGGGAGTAGGAGTAGGAGTAGGAGTAGGAGTCAAGCTAGCCAGCTCGAGCGAGTCAAGCATGGCATGCCCAGTCCCACCCGCCCTCCCACAACATAAGAAGCAAAGCTGGCACAACTGGGGGCCGACGTCACACCGGCCAGCCGGTTTGGTACAGCTGATGCGGCCGCGATGGCGTTTGCCGACGGGAACTGGCGAGCGCGTGTTGAATGCCGCGCACGCATTGCCAGACGAGTCGAGAATGGCCCGGTACACCGCAGGAAGCCAGAGGTGGCCGGAGGAAGCCCGACGGTCTGACAGGACACCCCAAAGCATTTTTGTGAAAAAGCATTGGGTTTTTGATGTTGTTATGTTGAAATGCTTGCAAACACACGGTGTTCGGTAGGATTCTGACATGAACGCGCGAGTGTGCTCTTTGTGGCATTTTTTGCACAGGATTCGCGGCCTGGGTCCATGACAGAGCATCGCGAGTGCACCGCGCGATGACGTGAAATCGCTGGATTTGACAGAATTCTTAAGATTCCTATGGTTTTTCCTATGATTTCAGCAAGAGAGCCCGGGCGGGAAATTTGTACAATTTTTGTGAAAAAGCATTGGTTTTTGATGTTTTTATGTTGAAATGCTTGCAAACACACGGTGTTCGGTAGGATTCTGACATGAACGCGCGCGTGTGCTCTTTGTGGTATTTTTTGCAATGGATTATCGCCGTGGACGACAGGACGTCCATGTCGAGAGGAAAAAATAAGAAAAATGTTGATTTTGTATTGTTTTTTAAAGGTTAGGATGGGACCCCCCGGATGCGGCCCCTAATGGCCGGCCTGAGGGGGGAGTAGGAGTATATTCTAATAAGGAATAAGGATAGGAGTAGGAGTCAAGCTAGCCAGCTCGAGCGAGTCAAGCATGGCATGCCCAGTCCCATCCGCCCTCCCACAACATAAGAAGCAAAGCTGGCACAACTGGGGCCGAAGTCACACCGGCCAGCCGGTTTGGTACAGCTGATGCGGCCGCGATGGCGGTTGCCGACGGGAACTGGCGAGCGCGTGTTGAATGCCGCGCACGCATTGCCAGACGAGTCGAGAATGGCCCGGTACACCGCAGGAAGCCAGAGGTGGCCGGAGGAAGCCCGACGGTCTGACAGGACACCCCAAAGCATTTTGTGAAAAAGCATTGGGTTTTTGATGTTTTTATGTTGAAATGCTTGCAAACACACGGTGTTCGGTAGGATTCTGACATGAACGCGCGAGTGTGCTCTTTGTGGTATTTTTTGCACAGGATTCGCGGCCTGGGTGCATGACAGAGCATCGCGAGTGCACCGCGCGATGACGTGAAATCGCTGGATTGGACCGAATTCTTAAGATTCATATGGTTTTCCTATGAGTTCAGCAAGAGAGCCCGGGCAGGAAATTTGCACCAGCCCTCTGGGCGTAGGTGGTCTAGAGCAGATCCTCTTCCACCCCTCCCTCTTCCCCCTTGGGTAGGGGTTTACCCCTCCCCCTACCCCCTCCCCTGGACCTGGACGGGGGGGGCCGCGGGTAGTTAGAGCGTCCCAGATGGCCCAAGACGGCTCCAAGAGCGCCTCAGAGAACCCAAGATGAGCTCCAAGATGGCTCAAGATAGCGCAAGATCGCTCGAGATTGCTCCTAAGATGGTTCCAAGAAGCCCAAAGACGGCCCCAAGATAACTCCAAGTGGCCAAACAGCTCCCCAAGGAGGCCCCGAAGAGGCCAAAATCGTCCCAAAACCTAAAGAAAATCAATGATTTTTGCTTTCTCGCCTTTTCGCTTCCGATGGCCATCCGAGGCCTGGAGATGGTTCCAAGATGGCCCAAGAGGGCCCCAAGAGAGCCCCAAAAGAGCCCCAAGACGGCCCCAAGAGCGCCCAAGAGCACTCCAAGAGCGTTCCAAGAGGGTCCAAGAGGCGATTTTAGGGGCTTCCGAGGGGGGGCGCTAATTAAACCCCCCCTCTTGTTTGATCGATCTCCTCCAAGATGGCCCCAAGAAGCGCCCAGGAAGCCCCAAGAGGTCCCAAGATGGCCCCAAAATGGCCCCAAGAGGCCCCCAAGAGGCCCCCCGGAGGCCCCCAAGAGACCCCCAAGAGGCCCCCAGAGCCCCCCCAGATGCACCCAAGATGCTCCAAGAGGCCTCGGCGAGAATGCCTAATCATTGATTCTACACAGGTTTTAGCCACATGGAGGCCTCTTGGGGGGGGGCACGGATTAAGATGACTCCAAGAGCGTCTGGAGAGCCCAAAATGACCTCCAAGATGGCTCAAGATATCCCAAGATGTCTCATAATGGCTTCCTCTGTGTGCTGCCCACTTCTCTGATCGAGGCAATTCCTCTGGGCATCGTTTCTGGATGGGCTGGTGGGATTCGCGAAGCGACAACAATTTGTACAATTTTTGTGAAAAAAGCATTGGGTGTTTGATGTTTTTATGTTGACATGCTTGCAAACACACGGTGTTCGGTAGGATTCTGACATGAACGCGCGCGTGTGCTCTTTGTTGTATTTTTTGCAATGGATTATCGCCGTGGACGACAGGA